GCCCCCACTTTCGTGAGAAATCTACAGGTCCGTTAGCATAGACGGCTGAGTTAGCACAACAAGCCGAGGAGCTAACCTGAAACTTCCTCGTCTTCGTCGCCGGTTACTGCTTACACAGCGAAACAGCCATCCAAAAGAAAGTCTCGTTCCTCCGCGCTTCCTGGTTCTATCGTTCTATGGTCACGCCATCCACGTGAAAATCCATATCCATGTATTATCCATATTGGGAGACACTAGCTCCGTCCCAACAGTGGGTGTGTGTGGGGGGCGATAGCTTCGTGGGTGCGGGGAGGGGAGCAGAAAGAGAGAGGCCAGCGGGTCCGCGGCTTCAAAATCCCAAAGTCAGTTAGTGCAGCTTTAAACAAATTGTAATTGTATTTCCCAAGTGCAATTACATGTTCAAAGTAGTTCAAGTATTTGCAAATAGTACTTCTATACAGTCAAAACATACTAAAGAGAGCAATTTTCTGACAATAATCAAAATTCAAACATTTCAAATTGTGGCATAGTTGTTACTAACGGTAAGCAAAGGTAACTATCCAAACAGATGTTGACTAAGTGACAGAAGGTGTTAAATAGGTCAACTCCACTGACCATGTCCCTAGGCTGTGGTGCTGTTAGAAGAATGTGAAAGGAAGAAAAGCAGTTCCTGAGAGAGATGCTATAATTTAGAGATTTAGAGATTATTTCATAGCACTTAAATAATCATATTGTTGTGCTCCTGACAACTCTCATGTCTCCTCAGACTAAATGCATGTTAAGAATTGGTGTGAAGCCGGGTCGTCTGTGACTGCACCTCTACTGCTGTGGGACTGAAAGATATAGAGCCCGAGGCATAGCAGTCCCAATCTCCTCTGCTCTATGCAGAGTCATACACTCTATAGTGTTTCAATAATACATGCCCATGATGTGCATGGACGCATGAGGAGACATGCTGCTTCCGCCAACACTGCATAAAAGAAATGGAGAGCTAAATCCATGCCAACAGCATATTGCTTTATAATGGGGAGAAGAAACATCAGACTATCAACAGCTCCCTTTGAAAAGTTGTAAATGAGGACAGGCCTTACAGCAACTTTGAGTTCAAATCTCTCCCATGACCACAGGGGCCATGGGATTAGGGCCACTCTGTTTGGACATTGGGCTGAGGATGTATCAGAGGAGCCCTATCAACATTACTCTCAGCACACCCAAATAATCCACTCCAAAAGTCTGACAATCTCAGTTTTTTCAAAAAGCGACTATTTCCCTTTTAACCAATCTTGAGAAGAGGTAAGTTATTGTTGCAAATCAATGAATCAACTAGAAAAATATCATCAGCCTGTGTGACGCCTTAACACGTGCAACAGACGATGAGATGTGTGAACCTGACTAATGCTTCGGTATTGGTCTCATGTGAGAAGACAAACAACAACATCTATTTGTGAGCACTTCTGATGGATAAGTGCATATGTGGAGATTCTGATACAGAGCAGATAAAATCCTCCAAAGAGACCACTACACATCTGCTGCTCTCCTCCTTTTATTTATTGAGGCACTTTCAGTCCTGGGACAAACCCGTGTAAAAAATGGTTCAGTGCTTCTATTGACAGTCGCAACATGTCGGGTTTCACCATTACCACTGTGTCATTTTGCTCCATCTGACCTTTAGCCACAATCCTTATGATACCCCCAGCCCCGCCTGTCCACTCTCCCAGGTGCCATATGTTTAGTGGACAACAGCGAAATATGAGGATTTAGAGAAAGGCAAACCATTTGCTCTGTCAAGGGTGCACTCTTAAGATAAACTACAAAATGCAACAATAAGCCTGTAGGAGACAAGCTGGGTTTATAACAAAATAATACAGATATAGGGGAATACAATAACAGACAATGAAATCCCACATTAACCTATGAATGGCTTTGAACAATCTACTGTAAGCCACATTGTCAACAATATTTGTATTTGTAAAAGAACACAGTTGTTGATCTGTTAAATTGTTACTGCTATAGACATTACTATATGTCTGTAGTTGAATTAATTGGTTTTCAACGCATTTATCAAATCAGTATGCCTAATTGCTGTTAGAAGGCACCAGCTGAAGGAGACTGCTAGTAACAAAATAAAGTACAAAACAATGAAAGACTTTACTCAGATATCGATAACTAATACAAAAAGGATTAAAGAGGATTAAAGAGAATTGCATCACATCAGTAACATAAATATACTGGCCATACGTTCTGTCATTCATTGGTTACTCAAGTATACTTGTATCGCTCGAGAATGTGTGAACGAAAAGGGGAATCAGCTATAACATCTATCCAGAGCTAAATTGTAAAACTATAACATTTCAATTCATATATTAATAGTAATAATAATAACTTTCTGAAACTAAACTATCCCAACAAAAGAACCCAGTCTAATAATATGAAAATATATAAACATAACAACAAGAAATAAAGTGTAACTTTCTGGGGACGGTCCAAGGCAGATCTCCAGCATGATACTACAGTTTGGAATAGGAATGTGAAACCAAATCATACCTCGAGTTTAATGACATCCATTTAGAGGATACGGCCCCGGAAAAATACAGGGAGAGGCCCCTTTGCACTATCAACGAATGTGTTTAACTGCTGCAATTAAATTATCTTATATAAAACAAATGTGTTTAGTACATTATGAACATATACTACAAAGTGTTTGTTCCTAACTAGTATTTGTTTGCATTTACAAGACGCTTAAAAGGCCATTGTGTACATCTTATGACTATAAATAAACAATAATGAAATTAAAGCTGCTGACCTTCCCTTGGTGAAAGGTTAGTCATTGAAAAACAACTGCATAGCCTAACATAAGGCTCATGTGTACAAGCCGAGAGCAATGCATGCCACACAGCACTACCCGGGTCACGTGAGTGTGATGTCATCAGTGTGAGCCTCCTCCCAGACCTGGATATGTCTCATCCGCTCGCCGTCACCAAACCCAGAGCCTGACCTGGACATAACCACAGCCCTGCTCCTGTTTCAGCACTAAACGTAGAACAAAAGCCTTGGCGTCTCACAGGGATATCCTCCAACAAGGTCTCTATTATCAAGGAAAGACTGCTTTAACAATAAAGCAGCACAATACAAAGACAAAAATATATAAACCAGCGAAGTCTCCTACTCATTGTGTTAATATGGAGACATATAATTAGAAGAAAGTGTATGATTTTACACTTGAGAGTCGGGACTACAGAAGACACAAAAGCAGCGGACAATGGCACATGCTAATAGTGTGAAGTGATGGAGTTGATTTGGTTTAGCTGAAGCTAGGTCAGACGTGAAGATGCGAAGAGACTGCCTGGTGTTTGTCCTGCTTAAAGACATCAGGCTGCATCACTGTTCCAAATAAGATCATAATGACGTAATAATACTCTCAGATAACAAAACCTCTATTGAGGTGTCCACTTCAAGTAGACAGTTCATTGTGAAATGTAGTAATCGTGGTGTTTCGCTGTATTTAAGCACTTCAAACATGTTTAGACATGTTTAGAGACTTAACCATTTTTGAAACTAAGCAAAATATCCACAAATACCCTGTCCACATGTAGCACTGTAGCAGCATTAAATACATGTTCATCAATGACAAATTTTTAGTCAAATGCTATTTTTGTCTATGTGGAGCAGAATACACAGAACAAAAAGCTGTTCTTGAAAGCGGTCCAAAAGGCCATTTTAATTTTGTCTTCAGAAATGTCTTAAGTTATTTACGTATCAAAGGGAAATCTAAATAGGGGAGATGACAGGTCTATTATGTCACTGTGGCCAGATGTTGATGTTGAAAATAATTGTTTTCATCCTTTACTTAAATTATTCCAGACAGTGTTTTCAATTCTCACAAAACACCTGCCATATGTGCCAATAAGTCTTTTCTATTTCAATCAAAAAGGCACAAAACCTTTATTCTTGGTATACCCACAAGCCTGTTTGTAGTAACTGCACCACAAGGAATGGTGAACAGAAAGTTAATGGTGCCAGAGGAACACCCCTACACATTTGAAGGCAAGATTAGAATCCCACAAACCCTCAATCTGACTGGAGCAAATTAAAGCTCTTCCATCAAATGCAGCCCTGAGACGATTTTAATCAAAAAATGCACCCAAAGGTTATTACAAATGTAATTTGACACTTAACTGTCTAAATTAGACTTACATAACAGGCACATTTACCAACTTAGAGGGATCCCATTTCAAAGCATTTATCGTGGCATCAGATTACATAACAGATGATTCAGAGTAGAAGTTGTGCTGGCTCTTCATCAGACACACTTTGTCCAGAAAGACTCTGACTGAGCAGTGTGCACCGGGCAAACGTGGACAGTCCCTGCACAATAACTGCTCCCAACCTCAACGTATCAGTGCAGGGTCAGGGGAGACAGGGTGCCACATGTCCTGCTTTTTTCTGTGTGATATATGCTTGTAATAAATCACACACAGAGATATAGACTTAATCCATAGTACTGCTGCTTCTTCGCCTGCAAACACAGTAAACACGTCCTGTCCATTGCACAGGATGTCTCCACGGTCCATTAGCACCGGTGCATTAGCTGGGTCCATCCTAAGCAGATTCAATGCACCACACGCCTTGGTACTATCATATTTTATTAAATCTCCACAAATGCTAAGTCAGCATGCACGGTGCTCACGCATGCATATTACAGCGTTGTTAAGACTCAGATGCATGAGATGATGAATAGGATTGCTGGCACTTTGGACCGTTAGTTTAAACAAATGGCAAAGCTCCCCTTGTCTAGGCTAATTTGGAGCAGTCGCAGTATCATCACCATTGCACCTGCACAGCACAGCCTCAGGGCGAAGCAGGCGGACAGGGGAGACCAGAACCAAGGAGGAGGAGGAGATGCTAGCGGTCCCACCACTGCTGATGAGTGGAAATACATGCCAGGCACGTAGTAACACACGGGTGAACCCTGCAAACGCGCTGTGCAGATACAACAGGGACATATGGTGGGCTTCCCTTACCTGAGTAGCTCACAAGAAGCAAGAATAGAAAGATGTCTCCTGACTGGACCATCGTAACTCCACACAAAACGACGCTGCGTGATGTCTGATGTCCGCTCGACCCCCGCGTTTTGAAGTGTTGCCGTGTTTTGTCAGCGGCTGGTCATCCTAATCTGTGCTTCTGTGGAGGTGGGGGTGGTAGCGGGCAGGGGCAGCGTTTGCGGACAGAGATTAGCGGCGATGATGATGGTGAGCGCCAGTGCACTGTTCAAAGTCTGACTGACAAGCGGCCTGATCACCTACGTGCGATCAGTCCGCCACGCGAGCGCAGTGGAGCGGCTCGCGAAAAGTAGTGCGCGGCTATGTCCACCTCTAATGTGCAGTATATGGACCATCCCCAGACAATTATAAAGTCCGGTGGTCGTGCGTTGCCAGCATCACATACCAAAAGCATTGCACACAACGAATATTAGACCATTGGCATCATTGTATTAGGTTGGTATTCGATTAAATGGTGACCACTTGGAATTGTGAAAAATAATCTGTAATTGCCCGAATGCACAGAAAGACACAGCCATAACACCATAGACCATTCTATGCATATTGGACGCATACAACGCACTAAGCCATTACGGAGGGAGTGTCAGTGGCACTACATTTTTTAAGAAAAAATTATGCCCAGAACATATTATTTATTTATTGATATATTTATATGGGTTTTTATTCTTTGGCTAAATGTGATGAGGAATCTGTTTGACTCATGAAGCTGAAGTTAAGCCACTGGGTGGCATTCTGGTGGACATAGAGTTGTATTCATAAAAACTATACATTTACAATTTTCTTTATACATTTTTGTAGGTATATGATTTTCTGTTTAAGACATAAAACCCCATCCTTCAGCATATTCAAATTTTGGAGTAATAATATTAATTGTGGAATATTAATTATTTATATAATAGTGGTCATTAAACAAAAAACTTGATTAGTTGCAATAAATAAATGCATAGTTTCAGTTCTGATGCATTTATTTATTTTCAATTAAATTAGTTGATGACTAAGTAAAGGAAGGTTTCTCACCCATCATCTGTACTTCTTAGCAGGTTTTCCAGACGGTTCGTTCTTAATCCAAAGAACTTTTTCAAGGGAATGAAATCTCAGACCGCACATGGGAGATTTAAATCCTATGGGTGTGGTTAGCCACACCCTAATCCTGAGGCTAACTCATAAACACATCTAACGACCCTGCTAGGGCTAACAATCCTAACTCAGTCACATGTCACAGATTGTCTCCTGAGAATGCTCGAGTGGAGAGTAGGTCTAACCACTCCCAACTCCTTAGCACGCCACAGACCTTATCTATAGTTAGGGCATTGTTTTTAGGATGCCGTCATAGGTGCGAGGCAAAACAAATCTTAACCCGCCTCTTCTGTTAAGAGAAGGTTTGTGTTTCCTCACAAAAATGGCTTCTTTCACCCCTCTCTCAAACCAATTTTTGTCTCGAGCCAGAATTTTAACCTCTGTGTCATTCACGGTGTGGTGGCCTTGAGGTGGAGATGTACAGCCGATTGTGGCCTACAAGAGTTTTCTCTACAATGTTGTTTAAGTCGTTTCTGTAGAGTTTGTTTAGTTTCTCCAAAATAGTGGTCAGTGCACTCCATGTTTGTTTGTTTATTCGGTCATGCCAATTATTATTTTTTGACATAAAAAGGCATTAACAAAAGGACAAGGATACAAAAACACTGTATTTTATGTCAGTAGTGTACATGCTTTAACATAGATTTACAAACGCAGTTGTGACCAAAGGGATTAGGCTGAAGTATAACTTATTTTTGCCTAATCCAATTTCATTAAGTCTCCAAAGTATGGGGCAAAACCCTTTCAAAATAGAAGCCAAACTAAATTTCAAGATCAGGAGAAAATGTAAATAAAAATAAACAATAGGACGGACATATATTAATCATTTGAGAAAACAATTACATTTTAACAACAAAAGGAAACAGCAAAAGGCTGTCATAGAAATGTAGGAGAGCTGCGAGACCTATCATTCTTGGGCCTGGTAATTTTCTAAAATATTATGTTTAATATTATTTTTAAACGTCTTTAATGTGTAGGAGTTTTTAATTGTGTTGTCTAAGTTGTTCCATAGTCTCCTCTGACCGAGACACATCTGCTTTTTTGTTAGTTCTTGCTTTATTTATTTTGAAAATCCCTGTTCCTCTAAGTTTGTAACTACTATTTCTATGTTCAAACAAATTTTGAATATTAGGTGGAAGACTACTATGCTGTGCCCTATATACCACAGCCAGTGTACTCACATCAACAATATCATACATTTTTAAAGTCCTTAACTGGATAAAGAGGGTTGGTCGGTGCGTAGTAGTCTGCTTTAAATACAATTCGTACGGCCTTCTTTTGAAGTAGAAAGATTGGTTGAATGTTTGTTCTATAATTGTTTCCCCATATTTCAACACCGTAACTCAAATAGGGAAGAATAAGGGAGTTGTATAACAGGTGGCGTGATTTTTGGTTTAAGACATGTCTCAGTTTACCCAAAACTCAATTTTTTTTTGACAATTTCGATTTAAGATTATATACAGTGCCTTGCGAAAGTATTCGGCCCCCTTGAACCTTTCAACATTTCGCCACATTTCAGGCTTCAAACATAAAGATAGAAAAATTTAATTATTTGTCAAGAATCAACAACAAGTGGGACACAATCGTGAAGAGGAAGAAAATGTATTGGATAATTTAAACTTTTTTAACAAATAAACTGAAACGTGGGGCGTGCAATATTATTCGGCCCCCTTGCGCTAATACTTTGTAGCGCCACCTTTTGCTGCAATTACAGCTGCAAGTCGCTTGGGGTATGTCTTTATCAGTTTTGCACATCGAGAGACTGGAATTGTTGGCCATTCTTCCTTGCAAAACAGCTCGAGCTCAGTGAGGTTGGATGGAGAGCGTTTGTGAACAGCAGTCTTCAGCTCTTTCCACAGATTCTCGATTGGATTCAGGTCTGGACTTTGACTTGGCCATTCTAACACCCGGATACGTCTATTTGTGAATGTAAATATGACCGTTAGTGATGTTTTATGTAGTAATTTTAGCATGAATTTATGTGGACTGATGGATGTAACGGGTGAATGTATGAATGAATATTTGTATTTGAGTGGTTAAATATATTTTATATTGTACATGTTGTGACTCACCTGCTCAGGGACTACAGATGGAAACTAGCTCAAGCTAAATCTGGTGCAAAGCATCTTTAATTAATGTATTTGCACATTGTCCCTGTTGAAATAAATTAATAAACTAAACTAAACTAAACCATTCCATTGTAGATTTGTCTTCATGTTTTGGATCATTGTCCTGTTGGAAGATAAATCTCCGTCCCAGCCTCAGGTCTTTTGCAGACTCCAACAGGTTTTCTGAATGGTCCTGTATTTGGCTCCATCCATCTTCCCATCAATTTTAGCCATCTTCCCTGTCCCTGCTGAAGAAAAGCAGGCCCAAAGCATGATGCTGCCACCACCATGTTTGACAGTGGGGATGGTGTGTTCAGGGTGATGAGCTGTTTTGCTTTTACGCCAAACATATCGTTTTGCATTGTGGCCAAAAAGTTCGATTTTGGTTTCATCTGACCAGAGCACCTTCTTCCACATGTTTGGTGTGTCTCCCAGGTGGCTTGTGGCAAACTTTAAACGAGACTTTTTATGGATATCTTTGAGAGATGGCTTTCTTCTTGCCACTTGCCAGATTTGTGCAGTGCACGACTGATTGTTGTCCTATGGACAGACTCTCCCACCTCAGCTGTAGTTATCTGCAGTTCATCCAGAGTGATCATGGGCCTCTTGGCTGCATCTCTGATCAGTCTTCTCCTTGTTTGAGATGAAAGTTTGGAGGGACGACCAGGTCTTGGTAGATTTGCAGTGGTCTGATACTCCTTCCATTTCAATATAATTGCTTGCACAGTGCTCCTTGAGATGTTTAAAGCTTAAGAAATCTTTTTGTATCCAAATCCGGCTTTAAACTTCTCCACAACAGTATCTCGGACTTGCCTGGTGTGTTCCTTTGTCTTCATGGTTCTATCTGTGCTTTAAACAGAACCCTGAGACTATCAAAGAGCAGGTGCATTTATACGGAGACTTGATTACACACATGTGCATTCTATTTATTAGTGATGGGTCCAGCAACACTGATACACCGGCGCATGTGCCGAGTTCGTTTAGCGAAACCTCGTATCGGCGCGCGTGTCGCTTTATGAAAAAGCCACGTGACCGATACAGCCGCAGTGTCGCTTGTCACCGACACTGCAAACTGTTTAAAAGGTTCCGCATCTGCAAGTGTCACCGGTATGAACCGCTCTCAGAAAAAGAAAATAACCCTTTCAAAAAGGAAAAGCATCCCATTTTACAGCATAAAAAATGGAACCTGCAACTAAAAGAAAGTATTCTGCAGTGTGATACTGCAAATAACAGCAAATAAGGCAATGTTTGTATTTTACATTTCACGCTTTATCTACAATCAAGCTTTAGTTTGAAACGCAGAATCTAGTTAGGCATGGTGGATGAGTGGATAGCGCTCTCGCTTCGCATTGGAGAGAACTGGATACGAATCCCTGTCGGACCTCAAAAGTTTATGTTGACATCACAGTCTTGAAGAATAATTTTGAGAAATTGAAGTGCAGAAAATGTCAAAGGTTTTTTCAAGTATACTTTAGTTTCCAGGGTTTACAGTGCACTTTGGACATGCTTATTGTTTTGAAAAAAAAATAAAATAAAAAAAAATATATATATATATATATATATATAAATATAATCACTCAATGACATTTTGCTTAATGAATACATTCACAACTATCACTTTAATTTTCACATAAAATAAAATAACACAGACAATGCAGTTACGTAATATTGTGTGCAGACAAGTATGTAAAGCTCATTGAATCAGTGAGTTGGATGCAATGATTTATCAGATCCACCAGGCGTCAGTATAGAGCAGCCCAAGCAACACTGTTGCGGCACAGTATCAATACAGTTCGTTGGATGTGCCGAAACGATACGTGAGGTTTCATTT